TAATTACAAACTCTGATTTATAACAAATGTGCCAATGCCCAGACAGGCAAGCAAAGATGATATAACAAATATGCAAATATGGTCCATTGTCTGATATCAAACTGTGTGGCCCGTATCATGCATTTCGGTGGAAAACGAGAAATTCCATACCAGTCAAGTTCCCTGCCCATCACTTCTACTAATATCAAACTATGGCCCGTATCATGCATTTTGGTAAAAAATGAGAAATTCCACCCCAATCAAGTTCCCTGCCCATCATTTCTACCAATAATAACAATGGTGTATACCAACCAGCCTCTCATGGACCAAATGGACCAAACCGAGGCAGCACTGAATTATTTAACAATGACCAGCAACCGATATGTACTTTAAGAGTAACTTGCAAATGAAGTTAAAATTCCTACAAGGTTGCCACTGGACAATGTAAAAGCAGCTTTCACATACATGCTTGGTAAAACATTTAAGAACATCAAAATGTAACAAAAACTTCGGAAAGTGGGTATGCATCACTGGCTAGCCTTTAATAACTTGTGAATAGAAATACATATATTCAACACAGTGGTACAATCCCAACATCATATCCAATCTAGGAAGGCGCGTTTCCCCGCGATGATATTGTTCAAATAATCATCCCGCTGATAACCAGCCACGGACATTTTTCCATTTATCTTCTGCAGGCCCTGAAGTCATCCACCAGTTTCCTCACAGGTCGCCATGCATGGTAAATGATCACAGCTAGGCATGGTGAAGACAACATTTCCCGCCTTTACCAAGCTCTAAAAATAATCCGAGACTTGAGCTCAGCCTGGAAAGTTATCTGCCATAATTCTACTATTCGCAGCACTAAATGCTATTCCGAAAAATAAGCGTTCTAGATAATTATCCATGATAAGCCACTGGTCGACCGCAGAGCGCACATCAAATTCGATGTAAGTAAATGGATTTCGGATGGAATAATTGTTCGAACCCTTGCTTTTGCCTGGTGTGTTTAATTACATAACAAACACGCCAGACGAGAATGACAGTAGACTCGATTATTCACTCCGTGATAATGATGCCGCTTCTCATTCCTTCCTCAAAACTCTAACAAACCCGCGCTTGTACATTAACCGCAGTCGAAGTGTTCGAAATTTCCTGAGAGTGCAGACGAGCTCCCTTATCGAAAAGGACATTTGCTGAAACTTACGATATGTTCGCCATACAAACGGTAAATTAGTGGTGAAACATGTTTTAGGGTCACCCGATAACTTTGAGCTGCCAGCAAAACACTGGGGCAATTGAAAATACCGGGTCAGTGAAAGAGAATTTGCAAAACTAAAGGACACCGATGGACGTAAATCGAAACTCCCCACGATCCTGCATGCACAATGAGCAATCACAATTTGCCTGGACATACTTCATTTAAGGTGCTCGCCTCATTGTTGCACAATTAAACCGCGACTAACAACCGTTTATTTATGCTATTTACAATCATTGTCACATGTCAGCCTGCAGTCCACCTAACCGTCCTCCCGTGTGACATACCGCGCCCTCCCCCGTCTTTAATTATGGGGCCACAGCGTCCCCCCGTCTCTCGCCCGAGACGCAGTGCCGGGCCGGTTGGGATCTTGAGACTCTCTAGGGGGCTTTTCCGCAAGACTTCCCGCACCCCCCTCCAAAATTATGTCTCCTTTTTATTCGCAAATTCTCGAAACTGGGTCGGCCCGCCCTTGTTGCTGCTTGATCAAGTAGTTCGTCCGAAATACTCCCGCCGTCCAATCTGCTGCCACGCACGCCTGTCCTATTTCCAAGGCTCGGCACCACAACGTACCCCGTGGCCAGAACTCGGATGTCGCGTCGACGCGTGGAGTGCATGGCCCGTCCTCTCTTTTCCTGCCTCGCCTCGGGCGGGCACGACACGTCTCCCTCCGTCCCTGTTCTCACGTGGTGTCACGCTCCTGATGCCGGCCTGGGTGACAGCGGCACCGGCGCGGCGGGGTTCTTAGGCAGAGAGTAAATGTCATCGCGCATCTCTGCGTGCATGTCTTTCGCCAGCGACCGGGCATTCCACGTCTACTGATCTTGACCGCCCAGCTGACAGCTTCCGTTTCCTTTCGACGTGGTGGCCCGTTTCGGAAAACAGAGCCACGGTCATGGCCGTTCGGGAAGGGGGGGGGGGGGGGGAGGCATCGACTTATCGTAGCTGGTCAGACGACACACACTGCTTCCTTCCTTTCCGCAGGTTAGTGTAATGTCAATGTTTACAAATTAAAACGCCCGCAACCGGTTTAGGTGTGAACAGAAATGGTGAATCTTCGGAGGTGTCGCGTTATGGGCATTTGCTGGTCATGCACAATTTTATTCTCAATTTCACATTCCAGGGTTTTAGTATGTGAATACCTGCTTTCCGCAGGTATTCTGCAGTGACTACAGAAATTTTAGACCATTACATCTGAGTGACTGGGCCCGTTTTTCTGCATCATTGTCAGTCAAACACATTCGTAATACGCTTTAAAGCTTTTGATTATCCAAACTCTGTTTTTGAGCATAACTCTACTCCTTAAAACAAGTCATTAGGTATGAGATAAAAACTGTGTTCAAAAGATAACACCAATAAGTCATTGCTGTATAAATTACAGCAGCTGACCTCGCCAGTGTCAATAAATGGATCCCAAATGGTGTTTAAAAATTGCGGACAACATGCAAAACGTGCTCAAGGGAATGTTTACGAAGCCAAGGATGGGACTACGGGAAACATAGTCCCTGAGATGAAAGGCTTACACCAGGTGCTAGGCGTTTCGCAGACATTTGGTCAATGTTTGCAACATTTTCGAGAAAATGTTACAATGGGTTCCGTGAGTAAAATTTGGGCTACGTGCCAGAGGAACTGATGGGGAAAATTTTGCGAGCGTTGCGTCGGTTCTTTTCAGGGCACGTTGGCGAATTTTTCAAGGGGTTTATAACAATAACCCCTCGCCCACCAATCGGGCACGGATATTTAAACCCGTACTTCACATTAACCCGTACTACACAAGAAAGTTAACCATTTTAGATGCATTTTGTTTTAAGTCCATTACACTGTAATATGTCACTCGTGTAACTCCAAGAGACCATTGCATTTATATCTTCCCCTTCGTACGTTCGTGGCATTCTTATTGCTGGTCGCGCAGAAGCTGCGTGCAATAACCCTACGGGAATACCCATGGACAGCGCCGCAAGAGGGGCAGGAGGGGCAACTGCCCCCTTGTCATTTGCTAAGGAGGCATTTATCGCTCCCCCGTCCCTCTCCGTTCTCCATAATATACAGCACAACGAGGGAACACGTCCCTGAAGTCGTCAAACTTGATCGCCTCCTCATGATCTTGCCGGCCAGCTACGACTGAATGCCGTTTCCATTTGCGGCAGGGACTAAAAAAGCTTGCTTGACTGACGTAACTCGCAGGAAGATCAACGCAGTAGCAGCGCAGTATCACGCACGTCGCGTTCGCCTGAATCGAATGGATCCAGCCCATGGCGGAGACGTTTTTACCAGTCTAAGGGCATGCCGTCAGGGAACGTTTGCTGTGCTTCGGACCGCACCATAAACGGCGGTGGCGCACATCTGGAAGGAGTATGTAAACTCCGTGAATCTCTCCAGGTAGCGCCCACAAGACCAAAGTTTTTCGGAATTTATGGGTCTCAGCCTCTGCCACCATTCCCTGTTCGCGCACCTCCATGCCTTACAGTAGTGCAGCGCAAGGCACGTACGTAATTTGCATGCCATTTATCATTTACAAGAGCGCCAGTTGGGAGACGCATGAACTCGCACCCATTTTGTTTTTCATTCAACTGTGATGATTTAACGGCCTCGTCTCCCCTTACGATTAAAAATTGGTGTCGCCACTCCTGGCGGGGGGGGGGGGGGGGACTGTAAGCAGATATGCAGAGGAGCCAAGGCTACATAATGAGACAGAAGAGAGCTTTAGTTCTAGAGTAACCTCAAGATAACCTATAAATAATTCCGCTCGCATCACCTGAAAAGATAAAATTTTACCATTTACCACATGAAGCAGTTGTGTTCTGTGCGGTTTGGGCAAGATCGCCGGTAAACTTCCTAAATGGGCATGCATGTACAACAAGCAAGCATCAGAAAGGCGCGGAGAGTGCCTTTCTGATGCTTGATTGCCGCGGAGAGCGCGGCGATCTAACATTGCTGCCACTGCCTTGAAAAGTAGGGGCCATGAACCCCGCTGCCTCCTCCTCTGTTCCTGCACCCACTCATGATCTACAAAGTGGATCTAGTAGTCGGTTCATGCATGACAAAGCGTGGTGCGGGCTAGCATTCACCAGACGAATTTTTTGATACCCTCTTATGAACTCCACAAATCACGTGCGTACCCCAATCGTCATTTTCTTTGGTATAATAATAGAAGAAAAACAATTGCCAATAGATAAGACGGCAGTAATAGCCTTATTCCTCATAAAAACCTAGACAATGAATAGGCAAATGCGTTGATATTTCGGATTATTCGGATTGACCTTTATCGGAACCAACACCAAGGGTAGAATATCAGTGGTGGTAGTAGAATATCACTGCTGACACTCGTTTCAATAAAGGCGTGTTGCCGAAGTATCAACGCAACTGTCTATCCACTACGCTGCTTTGTCTACGAGGAGTAAGAACTGCTGTCTTATCTATTTCCATAATGCTACTCACAAATACACTTCACAGCCTACAAATTTTACAACTTACAAATACACTTCACAACTTACAAATTTTAGCTCCTTTTAAATCACACAATTATACAGCAATTGTCACCAATCCTCACTTACGCTATGCACAAGCGCAGTTCTGAACTGCGGCGAAAAGGCAACTCCAGGAGGATGCATCGCATACAAGGTAAAAAAAAAACTTATCTCGCCACAGTGAGATTTGCGTAAGTACAGGCATACGGAGAAACTGGCAGTGGAGGAAAGTAGAGGGGGTGGTGGCGGCATCTCCGCTGGCTGGCTCCCTCCCGATCATCTCTCGGCCAACGCACCTCCGAGACGAGCTGTAGCACGGACGACTTCAGGTATTCGGAGACGCTGAGCTGGTAAGCGCGAATGAGGTGAGGGCCAACCTCTTCGCCATTGATAAACCAGGTCAGGTGGGGCGCCGGCATGGCCGGGCCCGAGCTGCAGTTCACGCGCAGCCGGTCGCCCAGGCGGTACGACGGCAGATGGCCTGATATCGATGGCCGCTCTTCCGGCACGTCTGCGGGCACAGGCCACATCCAGGCTGGGTCAGACTCCTGGTTACGGACGCCGGCGTATGAAAGGCGAGAGCCTGTGCTTCCTGACGCATGTTGAGTGATACCCAACGCTGGTACGACGGGAGTCTGGAAAGCTGTGCGACCAGCGTTCGTCAGATCAGGCCTCAATGCAGTGTCACGACTCCCTGTGCTGTGGCATGCGATCGCTCGGGGCCTTGCCTAATTTGGTCAGCTACAGCGTTGATGTATTGAACATTCCTTCCACGCAACGCGTTTAGGCTGTTAGTTGATAAGCGTGAACAGTTCGACGTAACATCCAGGCAGGCAGCTGTGATGCCGTACCCTGACATCACATCTACCTGCCTGTGGAGGCAGGATTGAAGCTAGATCAAAATCTGATGGTCTCGAGAAATGCCGCGGGAGAGCACAGCGCCACCGGCAAGTGATCAGGGTGGCATTTTGTGTCCACTTTTAACGCAGCATCATTTGTGGGAAGCTAAAGCTAAATATGTGTGGGGGGGGAGGGGGAGGGGATCACCGGTTGCACCACATGCACGTGATGCCTGGCTAAATTTCCGGACTTCTTAGGTTGAGCTCAGAAGGCTTTCAGGACGCATTTGGGTCGCTGTTTCATGGCATGATACATTTGCAACGGTGTCCGCACAAAAAGTCGACTCGCAGTAAAGTGGCGACATGTTGACAGGTCGATATGCCAAAGTGGCGAATGCCTAACTGTCGTTGAACTACTTAAGAGTCATGTCCGAACAAATGGCGGCAAGGAAAAATGGTGATATGCCCAAACGACGAATAGCCAAATGACGACATGACAAACGACAAGCCCACGCAGTAACAGCAAAAACACGAAGTTCTCCAAGTATACATGGATTGGGTAATTCCTATTCGATCTTTTTATGGCAGCTGCGTCTAGTGCTCAAGACTCTGGCTGCCGACCAACTGCTTCTATACCCTTTCTTCTGCGAGAAGACGGGGCAGAGGGCGACTGGTGTTTTGCTCACAATTTAACCTGGTAGACCAACAGACGCACATCATAAATACTTCAATAACATATTTGCACGAGGTCGCTATCTGCGGTAGCCCGATAAAATTCTACTTACAGCCTGCCGTATGTTTTTTGTTGCCTGCCATATGACGACTTTCATAACGTCGACATGCAAAAACGTCGACGTGCCAGAAAGTCAAATAAGGTAAATGGCAAACTCCAAAACTACGACACGGAAGAATGGCGACATGCCAAAACTGCCAAAGGCTAAATGACGAACTGCAAAAATGGCGACATACCACAAAGTCGACAAGCCAAAGTGGCGAACTACAAAACGGTGGCAAGTCAAAGAACAACATGCCAACTTAGTGAGCGGCTGAATGGCTATTGAAATCCGCATTTGAAGATGATGAAGCAAGCTTCAGATACGACGGATAAAAGCTCACTTGTTATAGGTATTTTTAAGCGCAAAAACTGCTCCATACAACACGTAAATTCAGTAATATATTCCTCAATACGTCATCGTTTGATCATGTCATGACACGGATTTCATGGCGTCTCTCTTCTCCTCTCCTCTCCTCTGTTTCCCCTCCTCTCATCTCCTCTCTCTCTCTTTTCTCGCTCGCTCTCTCTCTCCTCTCTCTCTCTCCTCTCTCTCTCTCTCTCTCTCTCTTCTCTCCTCTCCTTCTTCTCTCTCTCTCTCTCTCTCTCTCTCTTCTCTCCTCTTCTCTCTCTCTCTCTCTTCTCTCTCTCTCTCTGCCTCATAGTCGTCTGCACAGCCCAGCCGGGTATTCCAGACCCAGTTGACGACCGACGGGCCATCGGCTCAGGTGACCGCCCGGTTGACAGCTGTTGGGCCATCGGCTCAGGTGACTGCCACAGACAGACGATTATGACTGCTGGCGCCGTGCGTAAACAAGCCCTGCTGCTCTCGCAGAATCGATTTTCCGAACTCGAGTTTGGATTCACAGCAGGCTGTAATCAGGTGGATAGCTAATGGAGGTGATGGAAGTTCGGCTAACGTCCACCGGGGGAGCATCATTTGATCCCGATGCCGGAGCGGCGGACAACTTTAGCGCTTGGGAAGAAAAACAAGCGTTGCTAGAAAACGGTCCGCCGCCAGCTGGTAGTGCGCTGGCAGATGGAACTACCATTCAAGTTCCGCCCCAAAATTTTCCGGTAATTTGTGCCGTCAAAGGTGAATGTGTTGTGCTCTCTGAAGTTTTCCGTTCCGTGCGTACGGAGAAGTTAAAGTTACTGTTCCAAAGTCAACGCAGTAGAAATTGGGCAGAAAAGAGAGAAATACCACTGTTTTCTGTAAGAAATCATTCGGAACGCCAGACACCTGTATGTCATGAATGGAGGTGTCTGGTGAGACTGGATATTTTGAATACGGCTAAGGAAGCTTTTACCAGGATAGAAAGCCACAATTGCCAAATGTCGTCGGTTACAAAAGGCATTGCTTTCTAGCCATTTGGTGACACAACCTTCAAAAATGGTGTGAAATATAATTCAATTCAAAATTATTCGACAGCCTAACTCAATTAAGGCGCTG